TGTAAGAAAGTCACTGGTCTGTACTCAGGAGTTTCCAGTATATGCAGATTTATTGTGAATCATAATGAACAGTCTCTTTCAATAGGGTGCTTTCTCCCTATTTAACAAAACAGCTTCTGGCAGCAGTAACACAAAATAAAAAGGCCTACTCCAACTTAGGAGTCTAACTAACAGTAATTTCCCTGACTACTTTCTACTGGAGCGGCTATTACAGCTTCCAGTACCAAAAGAACTCTCCCGGGCGCTCCGGGAGAAACACTGCTTTTTATTTTTTATTCTGACATGGAGCCGTGTCTGACATGGAGCCATGTCACCATAGGAATGCCTTGCTAGATTCCTATTGGCTATTTCAATTTGCAATTGCACCCGCTATTGCACCCGCCCACTGTTGCAGTTCCCCATCAGGTCCCCACTAGTGATTGACAGCAGCAGAGGGCGGGTACTAGGGATGCACAGATACTTTTTGAGTACCAGTGCAGATACTTGGCATTTTCATGAGAACTACCAGGGTTGCAGCGGTTGCAGCTGGGACCTGGCTCTGGTGCTCCACCACTGTCCTGAAATCATTAGTCTGTATTGTTTTAGAAAAACTGTCACATGACAATAAACAAAAATGTATCAGTACTCGTACTTGTAAGTACTCGGCAAAATACCAGTACTCGTACTCGCAAAACTGGTATCTGTGCATCCCTTTATTTATATTTATAAAAACAAAATCGTACATTAAAACAGAGAAGTACAAATCCCAGGAGCTCCGTGTGCTCCTTACAAATGACGGCGACTCTTAATTGTTGAATTTTTCTATAGTCTAGTCTTGGAGCTCAAAAGTATCAGTACATGTACTCGTACTTGTACCGAGTACTGTACTTGGTATCTGTGCAACCCTAGTGGGTACAATAGCTAGTTTTGGTATTGGCTATTGCAAATTGAAATAGCCAATAGGAATCTAGCAATGCATTCCTATGGCGAAAATGTTTATTTTTTGGACGGCAGCAGAACCGCCGGCCAATAGAAAACAGTTGGGCGGAGCTAGCTGTCACTGCTAGCTCCGCACAATTGTTTTCTATTTATTTTTTTCTAGCAGAACAGCTGAGCCGAATGCTGCTCAGCGGCATTCGGCTATTGACTGAACAGCGTTCGGCTCACTTCGCTTCAGGTCGGTCATTCACTCGGCTGCCTATGGCAGCTTAGTGAATAGACCCCACAGTCTTTAACATACAACTTTTAGCCAGACCTTATCCCAGAGGTATTCAGACGCTCTCCAGTCTGTGTATGCATCTATTCAGCCCAGAATGGATCACTCTCTGAGCTCTCTCCTCCTCTCAGTCACTATCAGGTACAGGCTAATTAATAGAGAGAGGAGGTGTACCTGTTGGGGCAAGGCTTAACTCATTCCTAGCCAGGGAAAGTTGCCCTTCTCAATCTTTCACTGACAAACACACAGTTGTATACCCTGTCACAATATATATATATATACA